AGAGTGAGGTACAGGAACCAGCAATTACCTTGTTTGCGTCTGATCTGGAAAGCTGGCTGCCTGTCACTTCCTGGAGCTCCTCTGTGTGACTGGCTGAACTCTACTTCTTACAGGGATCTCTCCACGTAAGCTAAAGTGAAAGTTCACTGTGTACAGAGAAGCCTTTGAAACCAACTGAAAACGTATTCGGAAGCAGCTTTCGGCCAAGCTTAATTCAGTTTAACAACTCTCTTCCCAAACTCCCACATCAGACACTCAAGCTTCAGCTTGTCCTTCTTTCTCAGCGTTCACTTCCTGGGTCACCTAATCCAGGTCATGCACCTGATAGCATCTTTGTACAATGTTTCCCAGATCCAGACTCACATCTTCTAAGACAGACATTCATTAGGGGATCCTGCAGTCAATGCAAACTTAACATTTTCTCTTCCCCTTGGGCCTAAGCCTGCCTGTTTCTACTCTGTATTAACCAACCTCTGAATCAAAATGTTCACACTCAGTAAAGCAGTTTCTGGCTTGTGGTAGGAGCTCAGAAGTAAGAACACCAACGGGAGCTCCTAGCTGATATTCCTGCCAGGTGGGGGAAGCAAGCTACAGCTTAGAGGAAGAAGCAGGAACATCAGCAGCTAAGGGCAGAGAGGTCTAATTCTAAGCCAGAAATTCAGGCACTCCTGTTGCAATACTGAAAAAGAACTAGACTCTGTGGAATAGACTTTTTTTTTAATTCCAGACTCTTTATGTCCCTGTGACTGAGAGTGGTCATATCTCTCAGAACCCATTTCCTGGGTTCCCTGCCACAGGAAGAGCAGGCCAATAAGATGCACAGCAAAAATGAGGTTTAGGGCTTAGTAATTGCTTTTAGCATCATTTAACAATAGGTTTTGGCTGATGCAATTGTCTCTCTGTCTGTCTGTCTGTCATTTAACAATAGGTTTTGGCTGATGCAATTGTCTGTCTGTCTGTCCATCTGCCTGTCCGTCCGTCCGTCCGTCCGTCCATCCATCCATCCATCCATCTACCTTAGAGACAGGGTTTTTCTGTGTAGCCCTGGCTGTGCTGGAACTCAACTCTGTAAACCAGGCTGACTTCGAACTCACTGAGATCCACTTACCTCTGCCTCCCGAGTGCTGGGATTAATGTAACTGTTTAAAATCCAAAGATTTCGTGTATAAGCATCGGTCATTGTGCCGCAGAAACACTGAAACTCGCTGTGGTTAAAATATTCAGGGGGGTTGATCAGAATGTGGACATGCAGAATTTCTCATTTTTTCCCTTCAACACTCTCAAGTCCAAAGGACCTGGGGTTACATGTCAGCCCTGCTTTCTACCAGGTGCATAAGCTTGGCAAGCTTCTTCCTCCGGAAACTGAGCACGTGCCCAGGGACTGCTGGGAAAATTAAGTGAGAAGAAAAGCAGGGAAGAACTCGGGGAACACAACCAGGAACCAGGAGGCAAACATGGAAGGATCCAAGTCTCCCTCGGCATTACAACAATGGAAACCGCTTTGATTTGAATCTGGACCGTCCTCTACAGAATCCTATGTTGAAAGTGCAGTGCCTTGCCTGTGGCTCTGTCTGAAGGCCGTGAAGTGTAGGAGGCAGGGCCTGGCTGGAGGAGGTGGCTCACTGGGGACTAGCCTTTGAAGGTGCTGCCTGCCCTGGCTCCAGCCTGCACTCTCCTTCCTGCCTGAGCTGTGTGAACATGCTGCCACTGTCAACGACTGGGCTACTCTGCTATGCCTCTCCCAGCAATAGAGCTCAGGCTTCTGAAACCCGGAAACAAACTACAGCCTTCCCCTCGTTTCTATTGGATACGTGGTTCACAGCAACGAAAAAGTGACTCGTGCAGTACTTAAGGACTCTAGCATTTAGAAATCAAAAGGTGTTTTGTGCTGTCAAAAATATTAAAGCACAAGAAAGGAGCTAGATCTAATTGTCTTTCCTGCTCCAGCGTGGTTCAAGATCTCTAAACATGCCAGTGGCAGACCCTAAGATAGACAATAAATCTCAAGACACATCTATGGAGAGAAAATCAGGATAAACTGGCTGTCTACTGAGCTTTAGAGACATCTAATTTCCCAAAGGAGTGGCGTAAGAAGTCCATGTATTATTAATTAAGTTTCTATTAGTGATCCCCATTATACAGCTTATAGGCACACTTAAGTATAAATTATGAATTCAGAATAAGCCAGTCTGTTATGCAGTCAAAGGCCATGAAGGGCAAATGCATTCTACATGACAGGTCATCAGGAAGGCAGTCCTACCACAAGCTGGCAGAAACGGCACAGTCATGGCTTCCTTGCCTCCTCCTTGCATGCTGGAGATCAAACCCGTAGCCATGTGCAAGACAGGCAAGCACCTGGCCACTGAGCTATACAGCCTCAGTCACCGTCACATTTTCCGGTTCTTCTTTGAAGTTACTTTGCCCGTCTTTCTCATTCACAGGTCTTATTAAAACTGCTACTAGAGCCGGGCGGTGGTGGCGCACGCCTTTAATCCCAGCACTCGGGAGGCAGAGCCAGGCGGATCTCTGTGAGTTCAAGGCCAGCCTGGTCTACAAAGCGAGTTCCAGGAAAGGCACAAAGCTACACAGAGAAACCCTGTCTCAAAAACCCAAAAAAAAAAAAAAAAAAAAAACAAACAAACAAAAAAAAAAACCTGCTACTAGAAAGGCCTTGAGTGCTTCACCTAAAGCCACCCAGATAATCCTGGATTGCTAGGCAACCTCATCTGAAAGGATCTGACTGTGTAATCAATCAACCTGATGCAATCTCATCCCACCTCCAAGCCACAGCTAGATTGTTTGGGCAGCGACATGTAGCAGCACCGACTTTCTCCAGACGTAGAAGTGAGAAGAAGAAGAGGTTTGGGCCCGCGGTGAGCAGGGTGGCTGTAGCAGGTACTGCTGACTGCAGCTAACTAAACCCATTAGAGGACACGAACCATTCAGTCTACAGGTGACATGAACATGGGGAAATGTTAGCAGTGGCCAGCCTGTTTCAAAAGTTTGCACAGAAATCATATGAAACAAGGAGCCAACAGTCTCCCCACTGCTGCCTGACAATGTCTGGTCTCCGAGACAACTTATTAGAGAGGTAATCAGATGGGGGAGTATGCATCACCTGCTCCCAAGAACGCACACCAGGCTGTGGGTAGCCTCCCCTATTCACTCACTTCCCCCTCCTCCAGTCTCCCTCCCTTCCAGCTGCTCCTGCAGAAAAGAGCCCAGTAAAGGCCATCCTCAGGTTCCCTATTATTCACAGCGGATGTTGGATGTCGGAGTTGAGGCCTAACACCTAGACTTCTGAGGCAGTCACTGATCTGCCCCAGCCTGCTGCCCATGCTGCACATTTTTAATCTTCCTAAAATCATTATACTCACCTGGCTTTCTCTGTGAAGCACAGTAAATCGAGTTTAAACCAGTGGTTGGCTGGAACTGTTATGGCCCCAGTTAACCTCTCCAGTTTCCGTTGGTACGTGTTTCTCTTATGAAAATCCCCACACATCCAAATAGTTCTCTGTACTCCTTTGTCTCTTCTTGATAAACACATCATCCCCCGCCTAACAATCCTTCTGTATGTTGTAATCACCAATAACACATCCCTGTCATTAAGCAGTGCGCTTCATGCTTCAGTTGCAAATGATTCATTAGAAACAGGACCCTTCTGCCAGCCTCGTCACTAAGCCGATTTCCACATGTGCCTGCCACCCAGTGACCCCTATGGAATGGCATCTGTGTTTCTATGGTTTGCAGAGGCATTATCAAGTCAAAACTGGACGGTTCGTTTAGGTTGTCAGCACAGGAAATGGTAATAACAGGCTCAACATAACGTAAGGATGAACCACGAGAACATACCTTTTAATCCTAAAACAATATAAATTTATTGCAGTTAAGAAATATTTTTACTTTTCAAATAGCATTTCCCATGGCTCAAATCCTTAATTATCACAGTGTTGGTCAGAAAAAAATCCATGTGTCAGAACCCGCCAAGACAAAACCATCAGAGCACCTAGAACAATGTGCTCAGAAAATGAGGAGGAGATCAGCCTCCAGCTGAGTCCCAGCACCCCAGGGAAGGCAGTGCTGATGTCCACAGACATACAGGATACCTGGTTAGTGTCTTAGTTACTTTTATATATTTAAATAGTGACAAAACATCATGACCAAGAAAACTTATAAAAGAAAACATCTAATTTGGGGTTCACAGTTCCAGAGGGTTAGTGTATGATCACTGCAGGGAGCACGGCAACAGGCAAGCAGGCAGGAACTACACTGAAGTGGCAGCTGAGAGCTCACATCCTGAGACAACCATCACCAGGCACAGAGACAGCTAAACAGGAACAGCTTAGGCTTCTGAAACCTCAAAGCCCATACCCAGTGACACACCTCTTCCAACAAGGCCACACCTCCCAATCTTTCCCAAACAGTTCCACCAACTGGGAACCAAGCATTCAAATATATGAGCCTATGAGGGTTATTTTCATTCAATCCATTACAGTTAGGGAAACAGAGTGCCTGCCTTCTACAGGTGAAAGGCCATAGTTAGAAGGTCTTCCAAAGTTACCCTGAGCTGGCTTTACAGGCAAGCTGAACCTTCCCAGCCCTAGAGACTCCTGGAAGGGGATCAGCTACCTCCACAGAGTCCAGCTCCACCTCCCCTTCGGTGCTTCTCCTGTCCTGATGATCCCGGCTCTACTGTTGCTCTGATGTCATTAACACACCTCAGCCTGCTAACTCTAGAGCCCCCATCCTCACTTTAGACCACGGCTTCAAGGGCACCGGGAATCCCCTAGGTTTTAGATCAGGTCTGTGTGACACTGACCTGTTCTTGCCTCTGGCAAGGCTCTCTCCAACACCTTCCCGGAAACCATATCCCTTCCTTCATGTGAACACACAGTCACTCCGTGGGGGTAACAACAGACTAGCCTAATTATTTGAGAGAGAGTAACTTCTCCATTTGCGTGTGTATTCAACACTCTTACAGAAGACAGCTCTCTACTTACAGGCCTCCTGGTGGAAGCACCTTGAACAGACTGATAAAATTCTGGCTGCACTCGGCTGTTTTTCTTGATCCTTCGCTTCTTCACAGACGACTCCTGTTCACTCTGGTGGTGAGCCTCCACCACGGGCTTCACTTCTTCTAGCCGGGCAGCTGCAGCAGCGGCAGCAACTCGTCTCCTGATGTGCCGAGGGCTCGCTCGGAATCCCTGTGGCAGGAAACACACACACATGAATTTAGATTTTCACCGAATGTGTATAAATATTTTCTGCAGTTAGTTAAACTAAGTGCTCCCAAGTCCCCCTGGTCAGTGAAATCATTTACGTTCTACTGTAGAATAACCCTTCTGTACACTGTGAATATGTATTACTCTCATTGGTTAATAAAGAACTGACCGACCTATAGCTGCACAGGAAGAGCTTAGGCGAGCCAAACTGAGAATGCTGGGAAGGAGAAGGGTGGAGTCTGGAGTTGCCAGCAGACGCAGGGAGAAGCAAGATGAGCAGTACTGAGAAAAGGCACCAAGCCATTTGGCAGAGTGTGGATAAGAAATATGGGTTAATTTAAATGTAAGAGTTAGCTAGTAACAAGCCTGAGCTATTGGCCAAGCATTTATAATTAATATTCGGCTTCTGAGTGGTTTTTTTGGGAGCAATGTTGGGACAGGAAAACTCCACTTACAACATTCCCAACTAAGTGTAAGAGGTTCAACATGCATGTAAAATTTATCCACAGGGCTCAGGGAACATCTACCTTAGAAAATGGTCTTAAGATCCAGTAAATCTATGGAAGAATGCAAAATGAGCAATGGGGACCCTGCTCTGCTTCTATATTGTTCAGATGAGTTATAAATACATCTGATTAAACATGGATCAGAAAATGGTATAGGAAATAGAATGCCAGGCCAGGTGGACAGTTAGTTTTAAATGACACAATCTCAAATCACCTGGGAAGAGAGTCTCTGTGAGGAACAATCTAGAGCACATTGGCTTGTGGGCATGTATGTGAGGAACTGTCTTGACTACATTAACTGAGGTGGGAAGACTTGCCCATTGTGGGCAGCACTATTCCCTATGTCTGGATCCTGGAGTATATAGTATAGAAAAGAGACTGAGCACAAGTAACCATGTATGTATTCATTTTCTCTCTACTCCTGACCGTAAATATAATTAGATGCTTCAAGTTCATGCACTGACATTCTCACAACCATGGACTGTAAACCAGGAATTATAAGCCAAATAAACCTTTCCTTCCTTAAAGTTACTTTTGTTGGGGTACTTAACTTACTACATCAACAGAAATGATGGGGAAAGAACCCCTCTGCACTCTTGAGAGCAGACTCTCTTTGGAGAGGAAGTAGGAATGCAGAGCATCATTACAGCACACACAGGGAAGATCCAGAGGTAAAGCAGAGGTCGTGTCGTGAAAGGAACGTGGACTTGGGAGTGATAGGCCTGGGTCCAAATGCTGACTTACTATCTAAAGCCACACAATGTATTAAACATTTCTGACCTCAACTGTCCTAATCCAGAAATGTCTACATTCTGTTCACCAGACTTTTAGGTTCTAAATAAAAGGTATATGTCAAATTCTAAGTAGCATATCTAGAAAGATGCAGTGCTTGATAGAACGGTCAGGTGTGTTCTTTAAGTAAGGTAAACAAAACTCTTCAGATAAGGACACAAGTTCAAATAAGCCACATTGCGAAAACAATTTTGGAAGGTATCAAAGATGGTCTCAGTCCTCTCGTAGCAGAAAACAAAAAGTAATTTGCCAGAAAACAAAAAAATGTTACAAAAGTCATTTACACTGAGTACACACACACACACACACACACACACACACACACACACACACACACACAGAGGCAAAAGTGGGCAGGCAGTTCAGTGCCCTCGGTGGTGGCGGACCTCAGGGAAGGAAATGAATGGAGCTGAGAACACTCTATATTTGGCTTAGTTTGGTGGGTGGCAGGCAGTTGAAGACTAAATAGTACTTATGTCCCAGGCAAGGCAAAGAACCAAGGAATGAATGAATAAGTAAAATGGCAGGGACATGCATGAAATATTTCCACGCAACGCAGATACTCTTTGATGATGTGTCGGCCAGCAGAGTGTAAGTCAAGCATGGATGGAAATTAAAGGGGTAAGCAACAAATGTTCCAAGGGGAGCCTGTGTTTGTGGTTTGTCTGAATTCTAGAAGAGACAGAAAAGACTTGAGACTACAGTGAGGGAATACTGAATGGGAATTAACAACACCAACGAAAAGAAGCAAGTTTTAAAGGTCTGATTGTGTATGTGCAGAGTTCAGGAAGACTGGTGTGTGCAGGGGACTTCCCACTGAAGAGCCTGGAGACGGGCTGGCATTTGATTGTGGAGACCTTGTGCACAAACTGGAGGATGTGAAGAAGAGGAGGGTGAGTAAGGGAGGACTCACAAAGTCACTCCAAGGTCAACAGAAATAAACAAGGAGGAAATGTAAACAGATTTTCAAAACCGGCATCATAGTCTGGACTGGCTCTTCTCACATCAGCCTGCTCCCACCCCACCCTGTGTGAGAGCTCAGCTGGCCCTCTTCAACTCAAAATAGTCCCGGAAGATCTCTGCAGCCCCCATACAACCCAGGAGGTATTACAGCAGCTGCTGGGGAAGAGATTAGGGACAGGGAGCTGGGGGTCACCTGCAAAACATAGTTGAAAGCAGAGGCTGGGTCACTCAAAAGAACCAGCTATCAGGTGACCATGCACATGCCAGACTCCAAGCACACTCTCTCTTCTTCCTCTGAATTAGACTCACTGAGGATAGTTTCTACAGTTTGCAGACTAAGGTACCACAGCTTATTATAACCACTAGGTGGCATTAACTATCACTGCTAGCTCTTGCAGTAATGGAGTGAATCGAATGCTTATTTGATTAAATTGGGAATTCTCTCCTTATGAGTAATAAGTAGCTGTCTTTTGCTTGGTTCTCATTATTACTAACGTTCTTCAGTGTTACAAATTGTAGAAACACTTAGGAGGCGAACATTGCTTAAAACTCTCTTAAAGTCACACACACACACACACACACACACACACACACACACGATTAGAGCATAATTCTGCAGCCCTTCTGGAGAACAAGAATCCATGCACTCCACCTCCCTCTATCCAATCTACAACAACCAAGACTGCTCAAGAAGACACTCGATGGAAAATTTGGATCTTTATTTGGGTTTTTGTTGTTTAAAATGTATTTGTGTGTATGTGTGTGCATGTGTGTATGTGTGTGTACGTGCACACATGCGTGCACGCACACACCATGGTGCAACTCCAGAGGTCAGAGAATAACTGCAGAAGCTGGCTCTCCTTCCACCACATGGGTCCAGGACTGAACGCCAGTTGTCAGGTTTGACGACAAACATCTTTATCTCCCGAGCCACCTTGTCAGCTCACAGAATTGCTTTTGATACCCAAAGTAGAAATCAACTAAAGTCGTCTTTTCCTAAGCTTTCATCCAACCTGAACAGTTTTTTTTTTTTTATTGATCTTAGCTCTGCCACGCAGGTCTCTGTAAATTGTATTCTGTCTAAACATAATGGTATTATTTTAGAATCAAATTTTCTAAAGATTAGAGTATAGCACACAGATTCTACATCCAGACTATCTGGGTCCATTACACAGCTTCCGTTATTCCCTAGTTGTGTGCTCTTGGCTAGTCACTTAACTATTTCCCTACCTGTAAGATGAGCATTCAAATTAATTACGCCACAGGCTTGCAGAGGCAATAATGATTTCACTTATGCAAAGCATTTACAAGAGTGCTTGGCACACAACAGGATGATTACTACATAATACTTGTATAAATAAAATATATTCTTGAATACAGCCAGGTGTGACAGGAAAATGAGTGACGCTGCCAGTGTGTCTTCCTGAAAACAGGAGAGGTGCTGATCACTGGGTGAGGGCTCTTGGCTTGGTGAATCTAACTGCTGTGCTCAACTGCTAGTCCTATTACTCAGCATATGATACTGCCTATTGTTTTTCTGTGTCGCAATGTTTGCATCTGCCAAGAGTATGTGATACAACTCGTAGAAAATCATGTTGTGTTTTAGAAGGAAGTCCACACAGGGTACTTAGAGGAGGACATTTCACATAAACAGTAATTACTTAGCATCATTATTACTATATCGCTTACTTTCTGGCTCTTGCACCAGCAAATTTCATGCAGTTCAGAGCTGTGATGGCCAACACTATAACCACGAAACCATCACCCGGTAGTCAGCTTTATTTCTCCGAGTCACTGCGCAGTTCACAGTCCTTGGTTTATGATATACACTGTCCTAATCACAGTAAAATATGAGCCGTGACCTAACAGAAGGAAGTTTTATTTTAAGACAGCAGGTGGTGCTAGAAGCTCTTTTTGGTGTTGGAATTAGAGGGATATAGTCCTTTTCACTCTATTCATTTGACCTTGTCTAGGTACCACTGGGAGATGGAAAGAGTCCCAAGAGGCTGTTAGGTACTTTCACGCACTAACATTTCATCAAGGAATTCTTAAACCGCCTGTTACTGCTGAGTTAAAATGAACTAAATAAAAGAACAGCTTGGGCCTTAACCTGGCCACACAGAGAAAGGATAAACGGGTGATAAGACAGTTAGCCGTCCCCTCCTGACCCTAAACTAAGAGAAGGCACACAACTAAAGGATGACAGTAAGTGCCATGAGCTGTGCATCTCTACCACAAGGCTAATGAAATCAGAAGTGTGAATGGTCAAATCAAACTCCACTCTGTGTGTGTGTGTGTGTGTGTGTGTGTGTGTGTGTGTGTGTGTGTGTGTGTGTAAGTGTGTGCAATGCACTGTCTGTTTTGTTTTAAGAGGGAGCAAGAACATGGAGTTGTGTGGGTAGGGAGGTGAAGGAGGAGCTGGGGTTGTTCGGGGAGGCGAAGGAATATGATCAAAATGGATTGTATGAAACATAAACAAAACAAAACAAAGAACTATAAGCTGAGTGGTGATGCACACCTTTAATCCCAGCACTCAGGAGGCAGAGGCAGGTGGATCGATGTGAGTTCAAGGCCAGCCAAGTCTACAGAGCAAGTTTCGGGATAGTTAGGGCAACACGGAGAAACCCTGTCTTAAAACAAAACAACTATGATTGGCTCTCTCCTACCTCAAATACCCATCCTGAGTTTGTGGTCACAGAACATCCCTTCACTGGACAGTAC